CCATACCCATATTTCTACATAGATAGAATTTGTCATGATCACCAGCCTAATATCAGCATTAGTCATACTTCACACATATATTCCAAATACAGAAAGTAAATACTATGTGGATATTAAATTCTTATGTTTATCTCAAAGTAGTGAACACATATGGACACTGGGGGGGGGGGGGGGGGGGTCAAAAGTGTCCATTCACCAGGCTGAAAATGCTCATTTATGTGAGTATAAATGTTCTTAAAGAAAATTATAGAAAGAATCACTGAAAAAGTCTACAATACTGTTGTTTGAAAAAAGAAAAGATAAGGATCTACAAGTTTGGAAGGGCCATTTTCAGTAGATTAAACAGAAACTAATGACTTAGTGAGAAATCATAACAGAAGTTGAAGGTGGGAGGCCGAGCCTGGGATGGACACGCCTCCCTCTCATTCTGAGCCACACACACTAGGAAACATGCAACAAGGCAAATCCGGAAATAATCACATCACTCAATGTTTTCTGATTATAACTGTTCAGATGGGTGGTTCGAATCTTAAAATTGTTAGTCTATTTGAAGGGATAAAACACTTGCCAAGTGCCTGAAGTAGGAAGACAAAAATTGAGATGCCCTCCGAGACTACAAGACAGTTTTAAACCTACTATTCCTGTGCTTTACAAAAAAAGGAAATTTGGCTTTTAATTCAAATTAAAGATATCAATCACTTACTAATGAAATTATTTATTCTGCTCATGTAGCAGCTTACTGGAAGCAGATGCTGCCACAGTAATCCACTGCTGGCATGCCTACAGGGTATTAGATATATGGTCAAAGTGGCAGGAAACCCAGTATTTCACATTCTTTCAACTGTGAAAGCATTAACAGCTATAATAACAAGGACATAATTAAAATAATCTATTTCTCAGTAATATAAAACTAAAAGATAACCTGGCATTTCCTTTCTTGCAAAAAAAAAGTATTTTTAAAAATCTAAACCATGATGTGATGAAATACTTTAAAAAAAAATTCTTTTCTAAACTACTCATGTGGTATCATTTTAATCCTTGAAATCCTCCCCCACTGCCATCCTTTGAAGAGTGGTGACTTAGTTCTCTCCCTGTATGCAACGAGGCTGCGTTTAAGAAATAGATTTGACCATATATAGTTTCCTCTTTACAGCACTGTGGTGTAAACTGGCTCTCACTTCCTACTGAGTCATCGAATGGTGAGAACATGAACAGCCTAACGTGCTCTCAGGGAAAAATGAAGAAAACGTCCATCTACATTTGCTCTAAAAGGACCTTTCTCCCCTCAGAAAATAAAAGATTTATAAAGCCTCATTTAGGCTTATTTAATTTGTATGTTTCATTTACTAATTTTATCTGATGGTATCGATATATTAATTTAATCGCATGGTGATTATTCTGATCTTACACCACCAAAATAATTATTCTATTTATTCCAAAGCATCTTACAGGGTAAAACCAAACTTGTTTTTGGTTTATTTCTATTTCAAACACTCCTAAATTCAACATATAAATTAGCATAAGCCTAACAAAGCAGGCCATAATCCACTACAGGTGTGAATTATAAATGAAAATATAATTATCCTAGCACTATAAGCTACTTTGCATCACTAGACCCTAAAAACTGTACCAGTCACACAGGAGGCACGTGTCTTCATTGTTGCTGAACTCACTCCCTGCTGATGAAATCACCCAAGTTTGGTCTAAGAGTATACAACACCAGGGTCCTGGGTCCAACTCTTGAAAGGCACCTCAACTTCTGCGATCTCCAGATTTTCACCTACTTGGCTCTACTTTAGGCAGTAGGTTCGAACGGTTCTGAGGATGAAGCACATAGCAACTTCTCAAACCGCAAGCAAATTTTAAAACATTGAAGAGGCAAATTGCTTTAGGGTAACAACTACTCCCACAAGTTCTTAGAAATTAAATTTGAACACCTTCTTTAATATTTAATTGTAGAGGAAACGCTCGCTATACCTTTGAGTACCTAAATAAAATCAAGATGACCACGAAGCGTAAGCAGTAAGAAATAGGATATAGACTCTAAGCAGTTCCTAATCCTCTAAATTTTCAGAAATATCACAGCCTCCCTGATTACGTATTGTAGCAGAGCTCTTTCTTCATTTGAAGTCAATCGTGTTTATAGAAAATCTGGGTAAAATAAATTGAAAAATAACTAGAAATATAACACCAAATAAATAAATTTTTGTTTGAATTACCTAAACTTTTTCTGTTTATTTCATAGTAACTGATGTTTTGTCTTAAGGAACAAGATTCTTAAATTATGGATTAGACATAAGACTAATCAATAATAAACTATCAGCTCTCTAACATAGCTAAACTAATGAAATAGTACCATAAAAATGAGCTCGTGGTTGGGGCCAGTCCAGTGGCATAGTGGGAACTCTAGTTCCGCTTCAGTGGCCCAGGTTTGCAGGTTCGGATCCCAGGCACGGACCTAGCACCACTGGTCAAGCAATGCTATGGCGGCATCCCACATAAAATAGAGGAAGATCAGTCTGGATGTTAGCTCAGTGACCATCTTCCTCAAGCAAAAAGAGGAAGATTGGCAACAGATGTTAGCTCAGGGTCAATCTTCCTCACCAAAAAAAAAGGGAGCTCATAGTTAACATTCCTATTCTAACTGATTATCAAAAAGCTCACATATTTTACAAGTACAGGGTTCACGACCCTTTAAAAAGGAAGAATCCTATAAAACCTAACCGGTTCAGATTTCTAAAGGGAATATCTAACAAACAACAAATACTCGCAAAACAGAAGATTTTAAATTGATTTTTTTTTTTAAAGATTTTTATTTTTTTCCTTTTTCTCCCCAAAGCCCCCCGGCACATAGTTGTACATTCTCCGCTGTGGGTCCATCCAGTTGTGGCATGTGGGACGCTGCCCCAGCGCGGCCCAATGAGCAGTGCCATGTCCGCGCCCAGGACCCGAACCAACGAAACACTGGGCCGCCTGCAGCGGAGCGCGCGAACCCAACCACTCGGCCACGGGGCCAGCCCCTAAATTGAATTTTTAAAGCTTTAAATTTATTTAGAGGTCAATTTGAGACTAATATTTTTTTAAAAGCACCTTTAACTGAGTTTTAACTGCAAAAGTAATACATGTTTATAGTTTCTTTAGTTTAAAGACAGTTTAACAATACATGTTTTGTTAAAAAACAAAACAAAAAACAGTTTTCCAATAATTCAGAAGAGTCACCAAGTCCTTCCTATCTTCCCTCACTTCCTATCCCTGGTCTCACAGGTAACCACAATGAACATTTCTTACCTGTTCCTCCAAAACTTTCACATACAGATACAAGTGCGTGGGACATATAAATATCTTTAATAAAGAACACACACATAAATGGGATCATTCTAAAACTTTTTTTTAACTTAATAAATCTTAAGACATGTTTCAATAGCAGTGGATCTGCCTCTTTTTTCCCCCCCAAAGTATTCTATTTTGTAGGGATGTCCCATTATGCGATAACACTCTTTTCTTCTTACTCTCATCCATTTTTAACTCAGATCAGATAAAGCTAGTATAATTATTGATTGTAAAAGTCTGTAACAAATTCAATCAAGGGAAGTACTATGGTAGTGAATATTAGCTCTTTTTTTCCCCTCAACAATCCAGTTTCCAAAGTGTTTTAAAGTTCAAGTAAAATATATTTTAACTCCTATGTCACATTCACGGAAGGAAGAGGAAAATAGTCACAAAATATGCAACTCCAGAATGGTTGGACATCACTGTAACATAGGGGAAATGCTCATTACAGGACTCATCCAAAATAAGTAACATTTCTGTCTTCTAACTTGCTGACTTTGCTGCCCAAAATAGATTTTTTTAAAAAGGAGTGGGCGTTTGAAATAACTTTCAAATCATTTCCAAAAGAGTGTTTTACTCAGATTTTTACAATTATTTGCATTTTAGAACCTTAAAAACTAACATTATCTGTACCTAAGGGAGAAAAAGGAAGGGCGAGGGAACCAAAACTGATTACCTTCCCCCAAAGTCAGCGGAATTAACCCTTGGGCCTTGAGGGGTCCTGGATCTCCCAAGATCATTCAACGGAACATGTTGGTCTCTGCAGGGCTGCACCTGGGCCAAATTCCCAGCGTGCAGAAGAAAAATTAAATGATGTGCTGCCGATCTGGCCTCCCCTTCCCTCAAAAAAGGGAAAACCTCAAACACTGAGAAAAGGCCGAGGCTCGTTGCATGACAGCACTTCCCTTTTTTTTCTCTAAACCCGTTTCCTGCCTCCCGTTCGCTATCTTCAGCGATACAGGAAGAGGAAGGCCTCTAGGTCTTTCTCCTTTCTACACCCCGGAGACCCCGGGGAACGGAGCCCTTCTCCGAAGACACACACCCAGCCTGTTACCCCTGCAGCCCTTTAGCCTAATTGGCCCCCTGGAGCGCGGAGCCGGCCCTGCCGGGCGCAGGTGAGATGCCCATCCGCCGCCGGCCTCGCCCGCCGCCCTGACCCGGAAGGCAGCGGAGGGGCAGGCTCCGAGAGACCGGGGCCGGCCCTGGCCCGCTGGCTGCCCACGCCCAGGGAGGCGGGAAGCGCTGCCCCGCGCCCCTTCGTCCCGCCGGTCCGAGGCCAAGGGGTGCAGCCTCGGGCGCCGAGGGCCCGCGCGGCCCCCGCACATCCCTGCCCGGGCCCGCGGCCGCCGCGGCCTCCCCGCTGGGCGCTTACCCCAGTGCCGTTGTCGCACACCACCACCTTCCTGCCCTGGCTGTCCATCGTCCGCCGGGAAGAGAGCCGCCGCTGCCGCCCAACAACCTACAGCCACCGCCGCCCGGCCCTTTCCTCTTCCTCCTCCTCCCTCCTCGCGGCCCCTCCTTCGTCCCAACTTTCTTCCCGCAACCGGAAGTCGCCGCCTGGCCCCGCCCGCCATTTAACTGAAAGCCTGTGCGGAAGAAGTGGGGACGGGCGGGAGGAGGCCGAGACTGGCAGCGGTGAGCTCCAATAAGAAACGGAGGAGCGCCGGGACCCCGCCCACATCCCCGGTTCCGGTTGCCGCCCCGCGGTCGCCCGAGCCGCCACCCGGGTTTACCTTTTCGGCTCCTAGTTTCCCGGTTGTCGCTGGGCGTTGATGGCAGCCGACCTGGACGGTTCTCCTCCTCCCCGAGGCGTCTCTGGAGTTGAGGGCGCCGCTCACTCGGCTGCAGAAGGCGCAGGCAGGTGAAGGACGCTGGGTCTGTCGCGAGATGGCAGTGGAATGTGGCGGAGAAACCAGCCGGGAGGGGAAGCAAACCTGGAGGTATTTGAATGGAGGTCCCACCATTCAACATGGCTTGGTGTGCCTTTGCTTCTAGGCCTTTTCAGTGGACAGAGCTGGAATGGATACACCCCCACACACATATTTGAAATCATGTTTATGCCGATACCTCCAATTCCAGCCCAACCGTTCTTTGCCCAAATTGCCCTTAGTCCAGTGAATGAGAGTGGGTGCCTACATTTCCAGCCTCATGGCTCACCACTTCCCTCTTCCAGCAGCACCATGTTGCTTCATACTTCTTAAGTATATGTACCTCTTTGAACCCAGAGCCTGAGCTTTGAAATCAGACAACCCCAGTTTCAAATCTGGCCCTGCTACTCAAGAGTCTCGTGATTCGGGCATACCCTTGTCTGTGCATGGGGATAATAACCTCTACTTCCGTGGGTGATTGTGAGGATAAAGTTCTGTGCCTAAGGTAAGCATCCATTCAGTGGTAGCTATTTATTATTCCATACTTTTAAATGTGCGGTTCCATCTATAACGCCCCTGCTTTATCCTTTTTAATCCATTGGGAGACTTCTACTCATCCTCTAAGACCCAGTTGTCAGAGCTATGAAGACTTTGCTGATAACCCTCAAGATGCTCTTTACTCTTTCTTTGCTATTACTTTACCATGTACTTATTATACTCAACAAATATTTATCGGATGAGTTACATTAAAATTCATCTAGAAAAAAATGCCATCATTTTTGAGAAGTGAGAACTAGAATTGTGCCTTCCACATGGCTGTACATGTACAATGACTAGAATAAAACTTGGATCATGAACCCCCCATTTCAGTGTTATAATACTAGGCTGCTTCTCAGTTTTCACTTTGTTTTTGTATTAAACCAGTGGTTTTCAAATCTTTATAAAGGCATAGAATGCCATATTCAAATTTAATCTTATTTGGAGCCCCAACAGATAAAATAGATGAAAGTAAAGCTGCCATCACGGTAGTTGGAAGTTTGAGAAGTTAGGATGGGAAGGAGGCTCGGGACTGCTTCACTAGTGGTTGGGGTACTTCAGAAGCCTGCTGGACAGTGCATTAGTTCGTAAATTCCATATCTTACTTTTGTGGCCCCAGTGCCTAGCTCTGTGCAGTTTTCCCGGAAGGACATTTAACTGGTCACAGCAATTGAACTCAAGCATTTCCATGTCCTTTTACTTTTCCTCTTTGTGAAATTAAATGGATTACTAATTTTTACTTTTTTAAGAAATAGCGTTTGTTATTTTCTTTTCTTATTTTTATTTTTTTAATTTTTTTTAAAGACTGGCATCTGAGCTAACAACTGTTGCCAATCTTTTTTTTTCTTCTGCTTTTTCTCCCCAACCCCCCCCCCAGTACATAGTTGTGTATTTTTATTTGTGGGTCCTTCTAGCTGTGGCATGTGAGATGCCGCCTCAACATGGCCTGGTGAGCGGTGCCATGTCCACGCCCAGGATCCGAACTGGTGAAACCCTGGGCCACCGAAGCAGGAGTGTGCGAACTTAACCACTAGGCCACAGGGCCAGCCCACATTTGTTATTTTCTTCTGATTATAAAAACCATACATGCAGATGACAGAAAATATCAATGAACATCTATTCACTGTACTAATGAAAATGCAGCAAATCCCTTGGATTATGCAAATTCACGTATAATACCATTGATGACTGGTTCCTGCCTTTACACCACGTGAATCCTGGTCATTTCACTTTCCTCAAAATATTTAGACCCCCCCCCCATTTTAGACAATTGAATTTTTCTCGGGGGGGGTTTTCATTTCCAGCCTTTGGTTGAGATTTTTTGTCTATTACTCCACAAAAAGTCTTGCCAGGTAGATATTCCCCATTTTATGCATAAGAAATGGGGGCTTTAAAAAAAAAATTAAGTCTAGCAAGGTCGTGGGGTATAAGATCTACATAGAGAAATCAATATATTTATATATGCCATCAGTGAACAATCTCAAAATGAAATTAGGAAAACAATTCCCTTCACAAGAACATCAGAAAAATCTGAATAAATTTAGTGAAAGTAATATAAGACCTATACACTAAAAACTATAAAACATTGCTGAGAGAAATCAAAGAAGATGTAGGTAAATAAGCATACCATGTTCATGGATTTAACACTTATTGTTAAGATGATATAGTTCCTTCCAAATTTACCTATACATTCAGTGTAATCTCTATCAAAATTCCAGCAGCCTTTCTTTTTAGAAAGTGACAAGTTTGATCCTAAAATTCATATGGAAATGCAAAGGAACCAGAATAGCCAAAACAATTTTGAAAAAGAAAAGCAAAGGTGGTGGGCTTCTACTACCTGGTTTCAGAACTTACTGTAAAGCTACAGTAATGAAGACAGTGTGGTATTGGTATAAAGATAGACATGTAGATCAATGGAATGGAAAAGATAACCTAAAAATACACCCTTACATTTATGGTCAATTGATTTTCAACAAATAGGCTAAAACAATTCAATGGGAAAAGGGTAATCTTTTTAACAAACAGTGCTGGGACAATTAGATATCCATGTATGTGGGGAAAAAGAAGAACTTTGACCCTTACTTCACACCATACACAAAGATTAATTCAAATGGATCATAGGCCTAAATGTAAAAGAGCTAAAACTATAAATTCTGGAAGAAAACAGAAAAATCTTTTTTTTTTTTTTTCCCAAGGAAGATTAGCCCTGAGCTAACTACTGCCAGTCCTCCTCTTTTTGCTGAGGAAGCCTGTCCCTGAGCTAACATCGTGCCCATCTTCCTCTACTTTATATGTGGGACACCTACCACAGCATGGCGTGCCAAGCAGTGCCATGTCCACACCCGGGATCTGAACCGGCAAACCCTGGGCCGCCAAGAAGCGGAATGTGTGAACTTAACCGCAGCGCCACCAGGCCGGCCCCAGAAAAATCTTTTGATGTTAAGCAAAGCATGCTTAGTTATGACACAAATCATTTAATCATGATCCATTAAAAAAATTGATAAATTGGACTTAGTAGAAATTTAAAACTTAATTTATGTATTAAGAAAACAAAAAGATAAGCCACAGACTTGAAGAAAATATTTGCAAATCGTGTATCCAACAAAGGACTTGTACCCAGAATAAATTAAGAACACATAATAATAATGAGACAAATTACCTAATTTAAAAGTAGGCAAAATATCTGAATAGACATTTTACCAAAGAAGATTTATGAATGGCTAATAAGCACATGAAAAGATGCTCAACATCACTAATCACTAGGGAAATGCAAATTAAAACCATAATGAGACACTTCATACTCATTAGAATGGCTATAATCAAAAAAGACAGGAAATAACACATTTTGGTGAAGATGTGGAGAAACTGGAACTCATACATTGCTGGTGGGAATGTACAATGAGGCAGCCACTTTGGGAAATAGTTTGGCAGTTTTTCAAAAAGTAAAACATAAAGCTACCATACCCACCAATACCACTCCTAGGTACATACCCAAGAGAAATGTATTTTGCCAAATACTGTTCCATTGTATGGATATACCACATAGTTTACTCCTTCACAAATTGACGGACATTTGGATTGTTTTCACTTTTTGCCTATTATGAGTAATGCTGCTATGAACTTTCATATACAAGCCTGTGGATATATGTTTTCATTTCTCTTGGGTATGTACCTAGGAGTGGTTTGAGTCTTCTCTTCAGAGGCCTCATTTTCTAGTTTCCAACACTTGGGAAACTGAATGAGTGATCAGAAAATGGACACATGAGTGTAGGCTGTGAGCAGAGAGAACTGAGGAACTATCCCATGCAGAGAGAGCCTAGAGATTGCTCCCTGCTTCCCTTGTACCAGTAGGGCTCAGACCCGACCCGCGTCATTATTCACTCAACAAATATGTTTGGAACCCACCATATGCCATGTCCCATCCTGGGGCCTCCATGAAGCTTACATTCTACTGGGAGAGATGAACGCTAAGCAAGTGAACTTAAAAACATGATAAATTTAGCTAACAAGAAGTGTTATAAGGAAATTAATGGATAATGACTTGGGATGGGGGATACCCCTCTGAGGAGACAGCATGTAACCAGAGCATTCGTGTCCATTAGGATTAGACATTGCTGTGACAGAACCTAGAATAAAAATGGCTTTAAAAATTCGTGTTTATTTCTCTGCTACATGAATGAGCGTTCTAGAGCTGAATAACGCTCCACAGCAACAGGGATCTAGCCTCCTGTGTCTTGTTGCTCCCCCATGGAAGGAGGAATTTTTTAAAAATACTGTTTGCTTCCCCTAATGAGCTCATTCACGGTATCTGATGGTTTGTGCTACGGCTATCATTTCCACATGCCAGGAAGGAGGGAGTGGGGTAGGGGTATGGAGATGTGAAGAAGGGGAAGCGTCTTCCTTTTAAGGACTCTTCTTGAGAGTTGCATATACTATTTCCAGTTCCGCCTCACTGGCCAGAACTTGCCTAGCCATATCTAGCTATCAGAGAAGCTGGAAAATGCAGTCTGGATGGCCACATTCCAAGCCAAAAATTGGAAGTTCTATTTCCAGGGAAGAAAAGAGAAGAGATATTGGGGAATACCTAGCAATCTTTGCCTTAAATTATGAGAGGGTCCCACCTATGTGAATAACCTGGGAGAAGATCTTTACAGGTGAAGGGAACTGAAGGTACAAAGACCGTATGGCAGAAAGAAAGAGAGGAAGGAAGGAGGGAGGAAAGGAAGGAAAGAAGGAAAATGAGCTTGGTGTGTTGACTGAAGGAACAGAAGGCCGATGTGACTGGAGCATAGTGAATAAAGGGACGAATCATACATGTAGGGCTTCCAGGACCACAGTAAAAAGATTAGATTTTATTCCAGTCACAGTGGCACACCTTTGGAAGGTTTTGAGCAGTTGTAGAGGGTTTTGTTTTAAAACTAGACTTGGAGACATGGTAAGGACATCAGTTAAGCATGACAGTTTTTCTCCACTCTCTCCCTAATTCCAATAAAATGACACAAAATCTTTTGTTTGTTTGTCTATTAACCATAAAA